GCTTACCAGCTTCAGTTTGAGTTTTGTTAGGGTGGGGCCTGCCAGGCCTTATGGCCTGTTTGCCTGCTTTCAACTCAGCCTCTTTCTGTGGGAAGGGTAGTTCCATCCTGCTGGAGTTAGTCCAAACTTCCGCCCAGGTCCCTGCTGACAACTTGTGGCACCAGGCCCGAGCCATCACTTAGATTGGCATTGACAACCCAGGGCACCCTCAGTCCAGTGGGGCTCTTGTGGACCATAGGTTGCAGGAGGGATGAGGAAAACACAGGATCTGAATTGGAGCACCAAGGGGGTGAAGTCTCCAACCCTCTGAGCTGGCTGCCCTTTCCAGGTGGGGACTCACCCTGCTCTGTCTTGGTTGCCTTCCCTGAGCTGCTCTTGCCCCGCTTTGGCTTTGGCTCACCTTCCCTGGGCTATTTTCAGTGACCTACCAGTCCCACCGAAATGAACCCAGCACCTCATTTGGAATCATGAAGTCCTCTAACCCTCTGCATCTCATTAGCTGGGAGCTGCATTCCGGTGTTGCCGCCTCTAGGCCATCTTGGCACGCCAGCCCCCTAAGAATGAGCTGTTAGCATAACAACAATTTCTGCCTTTAGTTTATCCTTTTCTTTAAAAAATAATTTTTCATGATAAAAGTAGTATCTGTTGTTTTAGAAAACTGTGAATGCAGGCATATAGAGGAAAAAAAAAATCACTTAAATTTCCAGAAAAAGTTGATTCTTTTATCTTAAAACTTAATTTGCATTGTTTGATTTCTGATTGGAAAAAAACATTTAGAAAATGTAGAAAGTACATGATATGAAAAATAAAATCACTGATAGTATCATGACCTTCTACATGGCTCCATCCCCCAACCCATATTTAGGTGTGCGTATGGGCAAGAATGGTGTCATGTGTGTCAAACTACAAATACACAGTGATCTGGGGAAATGTATATGATCAAAGTTTAAGTAAACAAAGCACGAAATAATAATGCATTTACAGTTATAATCTCAACTATATAGGTGAAGTTGTACATCTTAAGATTATACTTACTATTCCTTTTGTACTATTCTTGATTCACTTAATTTTAATTCCTACTCATGTCATCAAATACTTTTCACTATCAAAAAAAAGTTGAAGGGAGCTTTTCATAAAATATTGAAGATTAAAAATAAAGTGGCATATCTTAACCCTCTCTTCCAGTCTTTGGTCACCCAGGGCAGGACACCTCAAGAGCCATACAGGTCTCTCCTCAGCTGAGAAAAGGCTAAGGGGTTGGGTTGAACCCCAAGGTATCAACTGCCACTGTAGTATCACCCTATGTGAGAATGTAGTCCTTCTCCAGGATTCCTTTCCCCTTTCCACAGTCCACCAGAGCAGGGCCACCCCTCACAGGTGCCTCTCTCGGAGTTCTCCATGAGAATAGAAGCTGACTTTTTATTGGTGCATTTACTTCTAAGATCCAGTCAGAAAAATAGGGGCTTGATTATTATAATCAACTGCTGTGTTTTGCTTAGAAAGACAAACTTTAGATACTACTAGGAATCAAAATATTTTATGTGGTCAGGTTATAATGACCAGTACAAAATTATCTGATTCACTTTAAAAAAAAAAAAAAGAAAAGAAAAAAAGCATCTTCTACATCAAGCATATTCAATGTGACTTTTACTTTTCATCAAAAAAATATATTTTAATATAATTTGCCATCTCTTACAATTGGACAGTTTTTCAGAAGTTTCTTTTTTTGCTTTGTTGTGTCATGAATATCTCAATCCTGAATGGGTTGCCTTACACATTCCAGAAATTCACCAGTATTTCTTCTCTTGTTGTGACACTCTTGCTGTTATCATTAGGGTCTGTTTGTCATAAGAAAATACATCATATTGAGTAATTTATAAACAAAAGAAACATATTGCTCAAAGTTTCTGAAAGCTAGGAAGTCTAAGATCAAGGCATCAACAGATTTGATGTCTGATAAGAGTTGCTGTCTGCTTCAGAGATGCCACCTTATTGCAGCATCCTTAAATGGTAGAAGTCAGGGCAAGCTCACCTGGGTCTCTTTCATAAGGGCTCTCATCCCATTCATGACTGTGTTTGTTCATTTTCCCACTGCTACACAGAACTTCCAGAGACTGGGTAATTTATGGAAGAAAAAGATTTAATTGACTCTGAATTCCACATGGCTTGGGAGGCCTCAGGAAACATAAAATCAGGGTGGAAGGCAAAGGGAATGTAAGGCACATTTTACATGGCAACAGGCTAGAAAGAGAGTGTGGGGTAACTGCCAAACACTTTTAAACCACCAGATCTCATGAGAACTCCCTCACTATCACAAGAACAGCCCCATGATCCAATCACCTTCTACCAGGTCCCTCTCTAGACACATGGGGAATGCAATTCAAGATAAGATTTGGGTGGGGACACACAGCCAAACCATTTCAATAACCTAGTCACCTCCCAAAGGCCATACCTCTTAACTTAAACACCTTCTGGGGTAGATTTCAACACACGAATATTGGAGGAACATAGGTATTCAGATCACAGTATCACTGCTGTGATGGGTTTATGTTAGTTGTATATATTTCTTCCATCACTTCAAAGGTAATTTTGGGGAAAGAAAAAGTAAATGCAGCCTCTGTCTGCTGATATGAATTGGGAGTAGTTGATTTTCATTTAGAAAGAAACCTCTGGCAGTATTGATGAGAATGAATTAGTGGAACATGGGAACAGTAGCTCCTGTAATCACCTAGATGAGAAATGGTGAAAGCCAAAATTAGAGCCACACTGGTGGGAAAAAAAGGAGGGATATAGATGGGATGCTGCTTTTGAGGAAGATTACTGTCTTAACGGAATAACAAAACAACACAAAACACAACCTGAGTTTCCCAGGCTTCATCATGTAAAAGTCACACAAAGCAAACTCTAATTTCATAGATTTCTCATCCTACTCAGACAAGACCACTGCCCACAGGAAAGTGCCCCTTCATTATTCCAGGGGTTGCCAAGGGGCAGTTTACATGTGCTCATAATGTATCCATTCCTGCAGAACTCCACTGCTTCCATGAATACCTCCAAAGGCAAAGTGAAGTTCTCATATACCAAATAATGATTTGAAATAATACCCAAGCTGTAATGAAGCTCATGCCCTTGACAACTAAAACTTTCTTTCTGGTTCAAGCTCAGTATTACTTTTTTCTTAGAATAGGTTCTCACCCAAGATAAACATCAGTTCTTAAGATAAAAGACCTCTGGTATGATCATATCCACCCCTAATTCCCTAAATCATGGATTTACATGAACATAGCTGAATTGCATTTGAATTCAAACTGTGCCCATCCTTCCTTACCCCCAACCCATCATACCCAAAACAAACATTTAAAATAATACAACGTAGCAATTTGTTAAGTTCTAAGAGAATAATACAGACAATAATGAATATACATACTCACAGATAAGATTACTAGTTAAGAAAAAATTGTCTAAAACAAAGAATTATAATTGATCCCTTAAGGTCTTTAAGTATTTAGAGACCTAGGAAGGTTAAAAGCAAGAGTGCCAGGAAAATTGATCAGCAAGAGAAAGGCTGTCAAGGCAGGGATGTGTTCATATACCAGTGGTTATGTGCAAGGAACTATGCCAGGACCTGGTGATGTTCAGTTGGTTAATAGGTCTCTGCCCTCTGGTAACTTTAAGTCTAGCTCAGATAATGTCTACATAAAATCCTTAAAACTGTTGAATATGGAAAATACTATACTTGCCACAGTTAAGAGAGTATTAATATTCAAACAGTTAAATATTCAAACAGAGGAAGAGGTGATAGTATTAGGGAGGAGGTGATATTTGAGCTGGGCCCAAAATGGGTAGCATTACATCAGGCACAGAAGGGAAGAAGGGAAATCCAAGCAGAGGAAATAGCAAAAGCAAATATATACGGCATGTTCAAGAACAATGCCCATTTCTTAGTTAGGTCAGGAATGTCATGGGAGATAGGACAGGAATGTTAAGGCAGGCTTGTTAGAGCAAGTAATTAGGCAGACATGAGCAGGGCAGGAGAGACCCAAGCCAGGAATGTCAGGCGACTATCAGGCAATGGTCAGGTGGCTGTTAAACTGTCACTGTAAAATAGTAATTGGTCATGGCCAGGACCAGGGAAAGACAGTCTCCCAATAGGTAGTGAACACCTGAAGCTGGTGATCAGCAGCTTCCTGATAAGATCTCAAAAGTTGGGCGAGTGGGCTCAAGCATGTACACTAACAGGCAAAATGGCAGCATTTAACCAGTGCATGACCTTCCTTTAGGAACACTAGACTGGTAAGAAAAAAAAACACCTCAAATGCACATAACTTCAGTAAACACGCTGTGCATGTGGCCCCTCCCAACTGCTGGCAGGCCACTGCACATGCAGACAGCTCGCTTGAAGGGAAGAATCAAGGAAGAAGAAACGTATACCCTGGAACCATGCCAATATATAAAACCCCAAGCCAAAGGCCAGGCAGGACACTTTCATTTTTTAAGTTACCTTCTTGGCCCTCTTCCAAGTGTACTTTACTTCCTTTTGCTTCTGCTCTAAAACTTTCTGATAAACTCACTCCGGCTTGAAAACTTGCCTAGGTCTCTCCCTCTGCCTGAAACCTACTTCTGCTCCTCAGCCAAATTCTTTCTTCCAAGGAGGCAAGGATCGAGTTTGCAGCAGACCTGTCAGATTTGCCACTAGTAACAGGCTCAGGCTGTGGAAGAATTTTAATCACAGGAGTTTGGATTTTATTCTTCGGGCAGTGAGAATTCCCTGAAGAACAAGCAAAGGGGTCTGAGTAGAAGTTTTATGAAAATAAATCTGAAAACAGGGTATGGTACAGAAATCAAGAGTGGAGAACAAATTAATCTATAGATACAAAGATGAGCTATAAATCTAGCTGAAAAAGATTAAAGTAGAAAAATGGAAGATTTTGAAAGATAGTACAAATGAACAGACAGGAGGCAACATATGTGAAAGATGTTGCATAGTAGAATAAATCAAGATGCAACAAGTTGTTGAGGTGACGGGTAAGAGACAAGGACAAGTTAAAGAGAATGACTTGGTTTCCAGCTGGATGATGAGGAAGCTGGTGATGCAATTAACAGAAATAATCTCAGAAGGGAAGGAAAAAGATAATGAGTCATTAAGGCATGTAGCTGAACAAGTCATGTTCGGTGACTCAAATGTAAATCATCCTAGAATGGGCTTCTCAATACAAGCTTCAGGAGATGTATGAACACCCAAAGGGAATTAATACACACACACACACACACACACACACACACACACACACACACACACACACACAGAGGATCTTTCATCAAACTCTCAATCACATCTGAACCCAGCTTTTTAGCTTGGTTCTGTTCTTCTAAATGGATAGAGTCCTTATATTGAGGAGTGAGTGGTTAGAAACAAATTTGAAGAACTTGATGGCCTGTGAAGGAACTTAAAATCTAGATGAAGGGTCTTGCAGAAAAAGGGGGAACTGGTATTTTTTAAATTGAGGTAAGAAACAGTGAAAGTGATGTTTTAAAAGATTAATTTGAAATAAAAAGCAGAACTATTTGAAGAAAGAGACCAGAAATAGAAAGACCAGGTAGAGGGCACTAGGACAAACCAGGTAATGAGAGAGCACTGAAGGAAACAGAAAAAAAGAACCTGTAAACAGTCGAGGCAGATGTGCAAGGACTGAGTGATCAATTGAACATAGGAGTGAAGAGAAGGTTAGCCTGACCTTGGTGATTGTGGTGCTGTTTGCAGAAACACGGACATCAGGGAGAGACAGGTCTTAGTGAAGAGCTATGCTACAGGTGCTCAGCTGAAAGCAGTCCTGGGACGTGCAAGCAAAAATGTTCAGGTCATCAAAGGAGTTAAAGAGTTACGCCCAGAAAAAAGTTCAGAACCAGAGACAAATTCAGGCATCATCAGCACCAAGAAAACCCTGAAACAGCAGTCATGGGAATTTGATCATTGGAAAAAAAAAGGCTAAACCCTGAATCAGAATAAAAAGAAAACTATCAGAACATATAAATTGAAACAAAATGGTAGAGACAATCCAGGTTTTGGTCCAGGACCTTTCACTAAATAAAGATCACAATCTTGGGACCCATTCAAGGCTAACAACCTCATTTTAGAGAGGAAAATAACATGTCTGAGCTACCATGAATACAGCTCAAAGGCACGTTTCTTTAAATTGACGTCTTGAAGCCTTGGAAAAGGGGCAACTCATCTGAAAGCCTTGATTCTCCGTAAACAGAAGTGTGTCCCTTTGGAGTTTCGGTGTGCCTCGGAATTACACACATTTCCCTCAAACTGGGCATATGTTATCAATATCCATAGTTTTACTGGAAGAAAGAATGTTTCAAAATCACCGAAAGACTAGTGTGAATGCCTGCTTCTGCGCCTTACCTCTCTGCCTTCCCTTCCTAACCCCATGCCTCCCCTCCTCTCTCTGCAGTGTCCATTCCAGCACTGTTGTCCATGTTCTCTGACAATCCATAACAGCCCCCACTCCAACCCAGCTGTCAGGAGCAACAAGCCCAGTTTACCAAGCACCTCAAAGAGAGCACAATTCAGAAATTCCTAGAGAAGACGGGAAGAGAGGCACAGGAGTCATTTCAGGCTGCTGCAGCCATAACCCACGTTTACCAACAGAACTGGTAGAAATGAAAGTCAAACTTGCTTTGTCGTTACTCCGCGGATTCTTTCTAAATACAGAACCTGCTACAGAATCGAGGGGTTGGAGAAGAGGAAGGGATGGACTCAGAGATCAAGAGTGCTTGGGAAAAAGGGGTAAAAATACTTCCATTTTTCCTGTGAAAAATAGAAAACACATGAAAGAATTCTCATTCAATTCATTTGATCTTAGCTCTCTAGAGTTTCTTTCAGGAGTAAGTAGAAGCTTTGTTCATGTCCAACAACTCTGTACTCAAGAGCCATTACCTAGGTTAAATAAGCTTATTTTATGAAGAGGCTTATTTAGCATTTTCAGATAACTTTAGGTTGAAGAAACCTGTTTGACAGGATGCTCTATTTTAAATCCCATGAGGAAACATAACTGTTTGTTTGAAGAAGGCTTGTTTGTTGTTTTCCATATAAAATGCAGCAAGAGGCTCTTTAAATTTTTTATAAACACGTCAAACATGGATCAAACCATATCCTTTGGAAAGCAACTTTTTGTATATTTATATGGAGTTTCACTAAAAAAGAAACAAAGGTCTGCTATTTCTAAGGCATTTATGTTCACAGATATTGTTATTATATATGTCATATACAATACAATTCACATAAATACAAATTGCTGAAGTCTCATTGGGAGTAAATTCCATTTTAAATTCTAAGTATATGCTATGCTAACCTAGCATCTCACCAGTAGTCACCTACTACTAGTTGGGAAGCACTGGTGAAGCAGAACATCCACATACTCTAAAAGTATGAAAGAAACAGCAAAGCCAGTCCGGTATTGGTCCTTGTATTAGCCAGGGCCATCAGGAGACAGAAATACACCAGAAAATCTAGTGAGCAGAATTTAACATGAAGAATAGTTAACCAGGTGTTGGAGAACTGGAAATGAGAAGGGGGCCATACTGAGGTATCACAGAGATAGTAACTACAATGAGCAGCTACTACCCCAAAAACTGTGGGAAGAAAGGGAATGGGTTGGAATTATGAAAATATAGAAGCTTGAAGGAGGGACCCTCACAAAGCTGGCATGCAGATCTCTGAGGGGGGAAAGTTGGCATCTCGGGGCAGGAGAGGGTGAGGACAAGTGTTTAGGCTGGTTCTGAAAGTACTGCTGTAATGCAACAACAGTCAAGGCTAGCATGAAAAACCATTGCTGTGTTGACACTGAAAGGAACAGGAAGAATCAGGTTTCTACTTCCAGACTCTTTGAGTGGCCCCCTTTTGGCAGTATGTAATAAGCTAGCAAAGGAGAAAAGTTTGCAGGGACTGAGCCCAGTATCATAAAGCACAATATAGAAGAGTGAGGTTAAAGTACAGTAGCAATAATCCAGTGTGGTCCACATTTTAAAAGGATCCCATATGATTAACCTTGTTTCCCCTGATTATAGAGAGTCTTTAATGCAATTGTATTATTTCACAAAAACAGGTGAATCCTCCTCTGCAAAAGCAGCACAGGAAAAAGAAAAAGGAAAATGAGATAATTGGCCTTATTGGAAATAGAAGAGGAGTCCTGGGATTGGATCAGATATAAAGGGCAACATTGGTGCTCATCTTTAACATCCTCCTTAGACTTCTCAGTTTAATTTTGTGTCTCAGGTTAGGAAGAATCCAATATTTTAGATTTTCATTGGCATTTGGTTATTTATAAAAACTAGCTTTCGAGGTACAGAAAAAAATATTCTTTATTCTCAAGAATGACCACCATCACCCCATATTTTTTGTAACTGCTTGTTGATAAAAAGAAGTACATGATGTCAACGGGACTGCAGGCAGCAGTGACAGCTCCTACCTAGTTATTCCTACAGGTAGAATGTTTTGTTACCTAAGAGGATAAAAGTTCTAAAACCCTGACATGTTATCCCAAACATATCTCACAAAAACTTACAATGAATAAAATTCCTTTAAAAAAGCTTCGTCTATTATGTATAATGCTATCAAAAGATACTACTAATATTTTAGGTGAGGAAAAAAAGCAACATGTACAATTCAATCTCATTTTTGTGCAAATTTGTATAGAAAACGGTCAGAAGGAAATGTCAAAATCTCTCTAATGCTTACATCAGTGTGTGGGATTATGTTTATTTTTACTTTCATCTTGTCTTATTTATATTTTGTATACAACATAATAATAATATTAATAGCTATTATTTATGAATTGTATACAATATGCCAGTTTCAGTGCTACTGCTGAGACTGCTGGGGTTTTAGTGGTACTATTTCACATGGAAGCAAATGAAAATGTGAACAGTAATTTGTCCTGACTACTTTAGCAGGTGGGAACAGAAGGGTATCAAAATCCCAGTCTGTCAGCCTCACAATTCTGGAGGAAGAAAGAGTTATTTTTAAAAATTGATTATGGTCAAACCTTTAATTAAATGCAATGGACTATTTTCTTTCTTTACTACGTTTAGTGCAAGTACATTGATCCAAAATTACTGGGTTTCATACTACTTTATCCAGTCTGGCTCCTGTAAATTTCCATGTTAGACTATATTAGGTATATTTACTTTATGTTAAACTCTGAAAGTAGGCTTTCTTTATGCTTGGAAGCTAATTTCAAAGCCAGCTAGTGCTACTAATGAAGCTGATAGCTGGAGAGACTTTCATTTTGTTCTACCAAGAATTCCCTGATTCCCACCAAGATGCTGAAGTCTAAGGCAGAAGACAGCTGAGGATCAAAGGACAAATATTTATAATCTAATCTGTAATAATTGACTTGTTAAGAAATTACCTCACAACTCAGAATATTAAATTGATTATAACAAATATCTGCAACTTTCCTACCACCTCTCCTCTCAGTTCACCTCTCTGTCCAGATTGTATTGGGTTCATGAATTTTTATTTTAATGATAAATGTACTAAGACCTTTTAACTTGATCAGAAGCACATAAATTAACATGAATTGGTTCAAAACAAAAACATTGGTTTTTTTTATAGCTTTCTTCATTTACTCCTGACTAGTTCAAGTTAAAACATAATGCAAAATACATCCATAGTTCTTTGCAGAATAGATTGGGGGAAAAAAAAAAACAGTAAATTAGCATGCCTAAAATATCTCATAGCTGGCTATACAGAAATTAATAGAAGCAGATGAAAATGAGAAGAAAGCAGTAACTAGGAAATACAACTCTGAACATCTCTGTGCTCATTCTCAGTAAGAATTGATGAGAATGAGCACTGCACTATACTTTATCCCCAGCTAATAGATGAACCTGCTTTCATCTCACTGTTAGAGGGACAGTGACTTCTTTTTTCTGATTCACTAGTGGCATGAAAATGTCTAACTGCATTTTACCTCTTTATCTTTTCAAGAGCTTAAATAAAATGTTACATTGGCTGAGGACTCTTTGCAACATTAAGGTATACTCCTTAAGAAATTATTTAATAAACTCTTTGAAAATCTTGATTTACATTTGAAGGAAGAAACTAAGCCATAGCAAAGTCTGTTAATGGTAATCACTAGCCAGCTATTGGTGAAAGAGATATGGTCTAGCCATCATTCGTAGCTGATTTACACCAGATCTGAGACTCAACTGCAGCTGTCTGCCAGCTCAAAGGATGAACCTTTACCCTTTCTGTAGATGAGAATATGTTTCCCTATTATGCTGATTCAGAGAGTTTATTAAGTCTAACTTAAGGCTTTACTTACATAATGGGCTGCACAATAAATGTGTAATCTTTGTTGTGCTATTGAGAATAGGTAGAAATTTTGATTCAATGAATATTCTTGAATACTCATGTTGTTCAGGGATTTATGAGAATGCTATAGGATATTGTAAAGATAAATAAGACTTGCTCTCTGACCTCAAAGGTTTATAATCTAATTAGGAAGACACAAATATGCAGCTACAATTCCAGCAAAATATGATCTACCAACTACTAACAAAAAAGGAAGCACAAAGCTAGCTAAGAAATTCATGTGGAAGAGATGTTTAAGTTTAGTCTTGAAGCATGGGCAGAAAGTAGAAAATATATAATAAAGTAGGGAAATCTGTACAGAGGAAGGGATTCAAAGAAGAGAGTTCCCTAGCAAAAGCAGTGTAGCAAGAACGTACTGACAAGTTCAAGGGAACATGGGTAGTTTAGCTGAGCATAGGAAGCATGAAGAGATAGAAATGGAGGTACAGATAGAACTGCAGCACACAGCTCTGATAAAGTCTTAAGAGTACAAGTTTCTCAACCTTAGTTCTTTTATCTTTTAAATGAAAATAGTAATATTTATCAAATTAAGCTTTCTTATAGGTTCAAGAAAGAATGTGTGTGAAAGAACTTTATAATACCTTTGTAACATGTAATGTATGATTACAATTAATCTACAGAGGGCTTAAGTTATTCAATGAGAGAATGCAAACTGATGGCCCACTGACTGTTTTATTTGGTATGTAAATAGCAGCATTTCAAATAAAAGTCTATATTTTCAGCTTCTCTTAAATAACGCCAAAATCTGTTCCACTGGTCCTACAAACTCACATGGCAACAATGGGCTCAGGTAAGTAGCAGCTGGTCCTTAGCAGGATTATGCACTCTCCCATTTACAGTACAACACTCCCTGCTGACCAGGCCAAGAAGCCCTATGCACTCAGCCAACAGAAGAAGAAAAAGAGAATTTGGAGGAGTCACAATGACTTCATCAGCCTTGTCTGTGAAGTTAACACCCATCAGTTCCACTCTATGCTTTTGGCAGGAACCAGTCACATGAAAATATTCTGACACAAGAGAGACTGGGAACATTAGTCCCTGGATGGACAATTAGAGTCAATTCTATAATACCAATGAGGAGGCTGACTTTTGGTGAACAGCTGGCCTTATCTGCCACACCTGATCTTTGAACATTAGAAGTGTTTTTCCAGTTTCATCTATAGATAAAAATAGAGTTCTGTAAATTTAACATTCTTTTACTATTTTTATTTAGGGCAGTTTATTCAAATCAAAATAATTTGAGGAATAAGGGCATAGTTGTTTTATTTTATGCATTTATGATCTCACTAGAGCAAAGTTTAAAGATGTGTCCAATCCCCTTTAATAAATCTATTTTATGACTTAATAACTTGAATCACAATTTTTTCCCATAGGTTTTAATCCAGACTTTGCCCTTAAATATACTACTT